AGAAGTGGGATTTGGACTTACACATGTGACCAACGAGCTTCGAACTCAAGATATGTGACAATTTGGTGTCAGAATTGGTTTACGAACGTAAACATGTCTCGAAGAATTAAACTTACGACTGCTTCGACTATTTTACTGTTACAAAATGGAGATGCAGCAGATGTTAGAACTCCTGCAGAAGGAATTGAGGGCCCAGAGAGAAGCTGCCGAGAAAAGGGCTGACGACAGGTGGAAAGCCTGGCGAGAAAAAATGGCCGCCATGCGAGAAGAGCTGGTCGCAGAAACGGAAGCCACCAGAGCAGAAACAAGAGCTATCCAAGAAAGGACGGAAGCCACCCGAACAGAAACAAGAGCTATCCAAGTAAAGACGGAAGCCATGCGACAAATAATGGGCACCAGCCACATGGAGATGGTGTACGCATTTAAACACGAAAGAGACGTAAAGACGATAGCCTGCCAAGAGTTGGAGGCACATCTAGTAGAAGAAAAGCCGGCCCCAGTGGACATGAAACCTGAGGCAGAACAACAAGAAGAGGTCCCTGCCGACGACGTTGCAGTGATACCTGTCAGTGAACCTGAAGATCAATTGATGCCAATTACCCAAAAGGAGACGGTGGCCTGCCCAGTGGACACGAAAACTGCGGTGGCACAGCAAGAAGAGGACCCCATTGCAATACCGGTCGGAGTGAAGATGGCCTGCCGAGAAATGGAGGAACGTCCAGAAGATGAAAAGCCGGCTTCAGTGCACAGGAAACCTGAGGCGGCAGAACTACTAGAGGCATCCATACAAGACGCCGAAGTAATGCCAGTCAGAGAACCGAAGAAGAAAAGGCGCAGGGACCGACATCGACGAAATATAAAGAATTCGACACGGGAAAACTGTGGACCATGGATGAAGTTGGCTGCCCCCTGCAGGAAGATAGCCCGTTGCGCGACAGTGGCACGATGTTGGAGAATTGCCTTCAAGAAGGAAATTCCCCTGGGAACCTTCGGATGCCAGCGGAAAGAAGTGACTGCCACTGGAATAAAGATTACACGCTGTGTAGGACACAGGCGCATGGGAAAAATCAAGAATAAGTTCGCACCGGAAATCGCACTGGCATCAGGGACCAAGGCCTGAGACATCAACTACAACGCAGAAATGAAGTGAAGGACCTAGGCGGCTGACAGCCGCGATATGTGAAGGAAGCAGACCTGAGAAGACGTGGAACACAACAGGCACCACTGCGGCTATATAAGACAACTGCACAGCAGCTACCAGTCAGTTGTAATGTGGGCAGTCGCCGAGTTGTAACGTGACAGTCGCCGAGTGTGTTATCAACAGTTCTCAAGGCAGCAGCCTGTGAGTTGAGTTATACCGTGGCCATCGCCGAAGACATTTCCGAGTTGTAAAGTAACAGTCACTGAGTTGAGTTGTAACTTAGCAGTCGCCGAGGCAGTTGTAACGTGGCCATCGCCGAAGATGGTTTCGAGCAAGCCTACGAGCGAGTGTGTTATCAACAGTTCTCCAGGCAGCCGACTACAAGTTGGAGTATAGCAGCCGTCGCGGAAAGAAGAACCGGACGTGTGTGTAGTTGTGTAATTGGGAGTGTGTGATACAGTGACAAACAGCTCCCCTACTGTAAACGTGTAGACTACTGAACACAGAGTGAGCTGATTTGCGCATAGGGTTATAAATCGTGAAACCCCGCAACAGTGGAAACAGATTATTGCGATTAGGGTTATAAATCATGAAACCCCGTAACTGTGTTATAATTAATTGTAGCCGTTTCTTGTAGATTGTTGAATAAACCAATTAACGATCTCTACGGCGACTTCAGTGAACAGGAAACACGTTACAATATATACAGGTCATTCTCAGACAATTCTTTTGAGAGTTACAAAAGCAGAAAGACAGTATGGCTGGTTTCAGCAAGACTCAGCTACTGCCCACATTTCATGTACATCTATGCAGGCTTTGTCAGATACCTTCAGGGACAGAAATATCAGCACTGGTATTTGGCAGGCACATTCACCCAACCTTAATTCATATACAGGGTTACTACAAATGATTCATTCCATTTCAAAACACTACGGGATGGCGTTCAAGTTCTAAGGTCTCCGATTTTTTTCTCAGGATTGGGAGCAGATAGACACATGCGGTTTAGTTTAAATTACCTGTGCACTTTGATTTGTTTCATTTTGGTCTGTCACACTAAGAGTTACAATTACAAAAGACAAGTCTGTCCAATGTGACTATTTCAGTTTTCTCACTTGATGATTCACTAGCCTTACATGTTTTGATCCATTTGGATCATCTTCAGAGGCACCAAACACTTTTTTTAGAAACCACTTGTCTTTTACTTGTCTTTTGTAATTGTACCTGTGCACTCTTTGTGAATGCGTGACAGAGATGGCAATACTGTATGGCACACAGAACACTAGTGGTGGTGGCGAGAGTGGGGAGTGTTTTTGATACCTAAAATAGCGATGTTTTCGATACAAGAACAGCGAGTAATCATTCGTTTTCTCCACTTGTGTGGTGATGGTGTCATGAATGTGAAAAATGTGCATTCGTGGGTATGATAGCTCAAAGAAGGCCGAACGCCGTTCGACAACGAACCAAAACAATGTAGGCCTCGCACCAGCCGGTCTGACAACATGGTCGAGTGAGTTGAGAAAGTTGTTTTGGAGGATCTCTGATTGAGTGTGGAAAACATCACCTACAAAGTTGGCATTTCCATGGGATCTGTGCACACAATCCCACATTAAGACCTGCAAATGCGGAAAGTGTCCTCCAGGTGGGTGCCACGAATGCTGGCGGACGACCACAATGCTGTGCACATGGCAATTTGCCAGGCGATGTTGACATGTGATGAAGGCATGAATGGGACTTTCTTTTCATCAACTGTGACAATGGATGAGACATGGATGCCGTTTTTCAATCCTGAAATGAAGCGTCAGTAATCTCAATGGAAGCACATAGACTCACCGCCACCAAAAAATTTCGGGTAAGCGCCAGTACTGAAAAAATGATGGTGGCCATGTTTTGGGACAGCAATGGCATAATCCTTACTCATTGCGTTCCAAAGGTCACTACGGTGACAGGTGCATCCTACCAAGATATTTTAAGAACAATTCCTTCCAGCACTGTGACAAAAACGGCCGGAAAAGGCTGCACGTGTGCTCTTTCACCAGGACAATGCACCAGCGCATCGGACATACACGACGCAGCAGATTCTTCATGAAAACAACCTTGAAGTGGTTTCTCATGCTCCCTAATCACCTGATGTGGCTTCTAGCGATATTTGGCTTTTCCCAACGATGAAAGACACTCTCTGTGGTCACGCATTCACCAGTCGTGCAGCTATTGCATCAGCGATTTTCCAGCAGTCAAAACAGACTCCTACAGAAGCGTTCGCAGCGGCCATGAAATCATGGCATCGACGTTGTGAAAAATGTGTACGGCTGCAGGGAGATTACGTTGAAATGTGACAGAAGTTTCAATTTTTTTGTATGATTATTGTCTGAGGAAAAAAAAAATCGGAGACCCTAGAACTTGAACGCACCACGTATATTTTGCAATGTATTAAACATTCAAAGACGACTGATACATGAAAAGATCCGCAAACTCACCAAGTTTGCATCGTGATACACCAGTTGGCAGCAGGAGTGCAGTGCCTCACAAAATGGCGACGAAGCTGGAAAAGAGTTCTGGGTGTTGGAATATGCAAGATTTTCGTCTGTTATTGCAGTGTAGCGTGCATTCAGAGCAGAGCACAGAAAAGAACCACCATGGAAACAGAGCATTTTGCGGTGGTATCAGCAGTTGACTTTACGGTTCTTTTCAAGTATCAGTCATATTTGTATGTGTAATATTTTGGAAAATATTATGTTTTGAAATGGAATGAATCATTTGTAGTAACACTGTATTTCTTCTGTGGTTCTTTGCAGGACAAAGTTTAAAACAGTAAACCCCATGAGGAAGCACTAAAAAAATATTCATAGGGAAATTGCAAAAATTCTGGCAGAACAACTTTAAGGGTTAATCAGAACCCCCATGCTGGTGCCAGGAATGTCTACGTGTAGGAAGACAGCATTTTCAACACCTTCTGTGACTTGTGAATTGTATATTTCAATCCACACGGTACCGGCCACAAGCATACTGATGCATTGGCAAAATTTGTATGCGCATTACAGCCAGCAGTGAATCAATTGCTGTGAAACACAGAGCTAGAAAAGTAAGATCCTCCATCTATATGGATATATAGAAATTATCTTTGATGTTCATTAATAGCCTTATTTATCTGTTTAATTTCATGCATTGTATATTCCACTTCAACACAATTGCATCTATATTTTAGGATGGGTTGCCAATGCAAATTCTTCACTATTGCTTTCTACACCTTTTACACATTCTCTGTATCTAATGTTTAGTCACTTTCTGTCTGACAGAAAACAACAACAAAAAATCTGTCATGACAACCAATCACCTGACAGCAAGTACAGAGTCAACTCCAACGGTGTCAGGTCTATTATATTTACTTCAAACAAACGGCAATGGGGAACATGTGTCTATGTCACACATTGTCACAAACCTTTAGAGAATCATTAGTTATCCTGTTACAAATCCTCAACACAATGATACGTCTGTGTTATTACATGGATAGACTGCAAGGGAGACAGAAAACAAATGATAAACTTAAGCACTGCTCAGAGGATTGGACAGACATGGAAAATGTGAAGGATTTTTCCTCTATAGAATTTACTGCAAAAATTCAGTATACACAGTATTTCATTTTATCTATATTAGATCTGCTCAAAAGAAAATGGGAGTGGTACATCACAAGCAACATTCTACAAACTCCAGTTGTGTAGAGACATTTCAGGAAAAAGAAACATTCAGAATCTAGTCAACAGCAGAGTGGAGTTGTTTCAAGTTCACAGAGATGGATATCAGACTGACAAGTGGCATTTCTGCACATTTGTGTCATCTGGCTAACAGTGCACATACAGCTCACCTCAGGTTCAGCCTTTATTTTTGGAAATGTTATTAGGACAGGATCCTCTTCCTCTTCTGCATCTGACACTGCCTCAGCTTTTACATTCATGGCCTGATTTGCATCATGAGGTGTTGGGTACGTCTCACCATACGGACCCACTAAAGCGTTCTCTGAATTTGTACAGTTCTGTAAAACCATCACATCCTTCTCAGAAATGAATGCACAACACCCTACATTAACCAGTGTATGCTCTCCTTGCTATGGCTGTTTCTCATCACATCTAACTCATAAGAGCTGTTCTGTACAGATGTTCCTCTCTACAGCTATCATGATCACTAGAAAGTACTCGGTTCATAGCTCAGTGACCTTCTCGAGGAACTATTGGTCACTGCAGCAGTACAGAAAATATCTGCTTTTTTGCTGCCTAAAAACATCATAATGAAGAGCTCCTCAACTTGTAACCTTCGCTCACAAAGCTTAATTATATGATCAAACCAAGGAGGATGAGATGGGCAGCTCACATAGCAGGTATGAGGGAGAAGAGGAATACATATAGGATATGTTGAGAAAGCCAGAAAAAGGTTCATTACTGTGCTCATCATGGCTCTGTATCCTAAGGCAAACAGACCCAACACAAACCCTACCAAATTATTTCTTAATCTATCTTAACAGCATCTCTCCATCCGCACTTAGGTCTACCAAGTGGTCTGCTTCTCTCAGGTTTTCTGTACAAAACTTTGTATGCATTTCTCACTGTTGCATGTGCACTACATGACTTACCCACATCACTCTCCTTGAACTCATTGCTCTCCTATATAATATCCAAAACCGTTATCACCCAATTGCAAGGAACGCCTCACATGGATTATGCAAACAAACAGAAGCATGTCACAAAATATTTATTTTCTTGGGCCAACACACTTGAAATACCGCAATAAAATTCTTGTCTGTGCACACAAGCACGAAACACAATACTTTCTCTCACAGCAGGAAACTTTTCTTCAGCTCTCTGAAGTACAATTCTTGCCACTTTTGTTGCACGAGAATGCAGAATCTTTTGTAACCTTGAAACCTGTTCATCACATGATAAATATCTTGTGGGGCTCATAGGAATTAGCTCAGAAGAGTCCCAGTAACTTAAAATCTTGGTTTTATAAGTGTAAGTAAGTAAGTAAGGCTATCCCTGTTAACAGGCCGTGGAGGCCCATAGGGTTGTGAGATGTGGAGGTTCCCAAATTCTCTAGATAATTGGCTCACAGATGGTGGCAAGGCTGTCAGCCTTATGTGCCGGCGGCCCTTTACCCCCAAGAATATTCCTGGTACTCATTTCTGTTAGAGGCTGGGTCAACCCAAGGGCCTTGGTGAAGACTGAAGGGTTGGGTCAATTGAAAAAATCCAATTACCTCATCAGGACTTGAACCCGTGACCTTCCAGCTTGTAGCATAATGCCTCAAGGTTCTAATAAGTGTACCAGTAACTAATTATGAAGAGTTCTGTGACTCCCCAAGGATTTTTGCTGCCATAGAATTTCTCTCAAATACAATTGTGTTTATGCAAAATGTAATTTCATCTGCATCACAACTGTTGAAAACGAAATGGAAGTGGTACATCACAAGCAGCATACATTCAATGAATTTCAACTGTCTAAGAGACACTTCAGAAAAAGGCTTCAAAGGCGAGCCAGCAGCACAATGGAGTTGCTTCGTGTGCACAGACAGACAGACAGATGGAGATGAGAAAGACAACTGGAATTCCTGTCTATCTCTGATATCTGCCTAACAGTGGATTTACAGAAACATACAGCTCACCTTAGGTTCAGCCTTTACTTCCTGAACTGTGACTTGCACAGGATCCACTTCCTCTTGTGAGTCTGAGACTTCCTCAGCTTTTATATTCATGGCCTGGTTTGCATCATGACTTACTGGGTATATCTCACCATAGGGACCCACTAAAACCTTCTCTGAATTTGTACAGTTCTGTAAAGGCATCACATCTTCTGTCAGTAATGGCTGCACAACACCATACATGAAACAATATATGCTCTCCTTGCTGTAGCTGTTTTTCATTACATCTAACCCTTAACAGCTGCTCTGTACAGATTAATGTTGTATTTTATCATCCTGTTGCACTGATTTTCATCCATGATATGTATACAGTGGCCCTCTTGTAGTGCACTCAATTTCACCTGTGAAGTAACATGTGAAATTGAGTACACTACAAGAGGGCCACTGTATACAAATCATGGCTGTACAGATTTCTTCTCTACAGACTTCATAATCTTAGGAAGTGTTAAGTTCATAATGCAGGCATCCTCCTGAGAATCCTGTGGTCCCTGTGGAAGTACAGACAATATGTATCTGCTCTTTATGGAACCTAAGCACTCATTACTGTGTTCACACAGGCCCATGACGACTTTGCATCCTGACACAAACAAACCCAGTCTAAAACCCCCATAATTATATCTTTAAAAAAATCGATCTTCACAGTTGTCTCCCAAGTGGTCTCATTCTTTCAGGTCCTCTGTCAAAATCTTTGTACGCATTTCTCATTCTGACATGCGTGCTACATGACCTATCCATATCATTCTCCTTCAACTGATCCCTCTCCTACATAATAATGCAAAGTGTTATAATAAATGAAGAACCATGTAAACTTCCCACATGGATTATGAAAACTAACACAAGCTTGGTGTAAAAAGTTTATATCTTAAGATATGAGAATTGCCTGATGACAATAAAATTGTTGTCTGTGCACACAAGCACAAAACACTCACCATCCTTTCTGTCACAGCAGAAAATGTTTCTTCAGCTCTCTGTAGCACAATTCTCGGCATTCCTGTTGCAAGAAATTGCAGAATCTTTCATAACCTTGAAACTTTATTTTATCACACATGATGATTTGTGGGTGGCAAATGAATTGATTTACAAGAATCCTTGTGATATAGCATGGTAATTAAGATATATGTAGTAAGATGACCTTGTTTTTTATAATGGAAGGTAGTCATAAATTTGATTGCAACTAATATATCTTAATTATACAGAGTGTGATTTTAATTGTAATTGAATGTTATCTTATGTCATATATGATATGATGACGTTCAATCGATTGGGCAGGAGGCAAATTAGACTGGAAAAGTTGTATATGTATCTGACTTTTTCGCGAGTTACAATTTGTAACTGTGATGAATGTTAAATAAAATTATTATTATCATATTTCTAATAAGTGTAAAAGTACCTAGCTCTGAATATTTGCCCACGTCTGTAAGCAAACATACTAATTACTGTGAACAAACACACTCTGATGTGCATTTCTTTGTTCTCACAGTAGAGGCTGGCAGGGTTTATGAAGCTTAGTGTTGCTCAGTTTCGAAGGCAGCTAGTTCACCCATTTTGCGTGAATCTCTTCCTTCCAAACCGTCGGTAACTAGGTACCAGACTGCACGGGTTTACGTCCTAGAAACAGCAAAGCTACTCTAAAAATTTACATTGCAGAGCCCCAAAAATGCTTTTGTATTATGCCCTGCAACTTCAACCAGTTCAACATAGGCCATCACCTATCACGACTTCCTTTGCAAGTCGGACTGGTATGTGTAAGGGGCGAGAAAGGGCATAAAACAGTAAAAAATGTTTATTCTACTAGAAGCATAACGCTCAGAATGGTCGCTCCGAAGTCTAGCTGAATCCCAACTAGAACTTGTGACTTCGGAATAATATCACGTACACCATAATTTGTAAAAATATGAGGAAACTTAATGATTCCCTAAGGAACACCCTAAACTTACACGCTTCCATTAAAAACTTAATATCCGGTAACACAAATGCAACAGTTACGCCTACTCGCTGTGGTGGTGGTCACTTGCGGTCACTTGTGGCCCTTGTGGTCTTGGTCGTCTTGGTGGTCTTGGTACCATAGCCGACACAGAGAAGACAGAGAGCACTGATCGCGCTAGTGTACATATAGTACTAGTTCTGCACAGCAGATGGGTCTGCCAACATACCTGTTTGACATCTGTCGCCTACGCCTGATGATCAAGGCCTTGGCCTTTTTTATACAGAATGTCGCAGGAGGAATTGACCAAACTTCGGGAGGGTGTTCCTTATGTTAAAGTATGCCGATATATCCCAAAACACATATGTCCAAAGTTGAACGGTTACGGAGATAATGGCCCAAGAAGTGTCAAACTTTGACCGGCGTTGCACACTTGTTGATTATAAGATACATGTTAAAACTGGCAGGAATATGTGAATTCTGTAATATTAATAATATACCTAACATCAAACTAACTTGTGAGTGACATGAAGCCATAAAATTGAAGTACAAAATACTCGCTCGCCATGTCATAATTGTCCTTAGGGTTTCCAAGGACTATACATGACACATGAATGGCAAGCGCTGACGTAACGTGGCTGACTGCGCGTTCTGATAAAGCCAACTACATACGTATGGCTAGGGTGAATCACGGCACTCAAGGACAAACATCGGTAAAGGCTCTAAGCTGAGGGGTACAGTGCGTACACCTGCCAGAAGACCACACTTTTCTTGGGCCATTATCTCCGTAACCGTTCAGCTTTGGACATAGGTGTTTTGGGTTATATCGGCATAAATTAACATAAGGAAGACCCTCCCGAAGTTTGGTCCATTCCTCCTGGGACACCCTATATATATATTGTAACGTGTTTCGTTACTTAAGACGCCGTTCGGATTGTTAATTGGTTTATTTAACAATCTGCCAGTCTCGGCCACGATTAATTACAACACTGTTGCGGGGTTTCACACTTTGTAACCCTATTCGCAATAATCAATTCACACTGTCATCCGTAGTCTACACGTATTAATTACGATACGGGAGCTATACAAGTGTCACTGTATCACACACTCCCAATTATTACTCCCTTATAACAAACTATCCTAATAATCACACGCGTCCGGTTCTTTCCGCGACTGCTGCTACATTCCAACTGTGTCACTTCTGATAACTAGGGACCGGAATTTTATGCCCTTATAATCCCTTAAATATGTATACATTTATGCATCGAAAGCTTCCGAAATGTGCACTAAAAGAAGCACATAAAAATCAAAATAATAAAATTGATTTTAAATTATTTTAAGACCAACAAATCAATATTTATGTTCATTTTATGTAATCACTGATTGGTTCATTTGCAATAAAAAGCTATACTTAAATAGAAATCATGCAACAAAGCCAACGTATTTCATTACAAATTTAAAAAACCATTGGTACTCACATTTATCTCTCCGAACTTTAAACTTCTCTTCTGTTGCAGTTCACAATTACTAAATGTTCTAGGATTCCATAGTTAGTCGCCCCCTACTGTCTCGTAAGATGTCCTTATAGCGGGAAAAACTTCTTCCCACCTCACAGGAACTTAGGGGCGCATGTACAAAAGCCGATATTTGTCCACTGTTAGTGATATTTTACTTGGCAGTTCAGTACGTTTACCGAAAAAAAATTCTTCACTTACATAAAATTTGTTCATATCCTGGATTTTTTGAAAGAATGCTGTGTACTTTTTTCTTTACTACTTCACCTACTCTTCCAGGAACCGAATTCAATTTATAAACAGTGGTTTTGAACACACTTAACGACTGATACAAAGTGGTATTGCTATTGCTTGCCTCCAGTGAGGAAATGGCGGATGGAAGATAAGAGAAGTGAGCAGATATATAGGAAAGATTAGTTTCTAGGTCTGCGCTTTTTAGTACATCTTGGGCAATTTGAATTGATGCTGCACTTCTTGGAACAAATGTATTGACGACATTCCTAAATGTTTCTAAATGTTCGGTATAATAACTCGCTGCACAAAGCCACTTGCCCCAGCGCGTTAAAAATGGTTCTGGCGGAAGTGGAACGCTCTGTGCTACTCCTTTAAATGCTTCTTCTCTGTATGGCGCTTTAACAGATACTTTCTTCACAGAAGACACTAACTTGTCAACAAGCGGAAAATGTGCATGAATTGTTTCTGCAACACGGTGCAACCCATGGGCAAAGCAAGTCAAATGTGTCATATTTGGAAATATAACTTTAAGAGCAGTACCGGCTTTCATCATATAACTTGCGGCATCTGTCACAAAGAGCAATACGCGCTCATACTGAATGCCATTCGGCCATAGTAAATTCAAGGAATTGATAAGAAATTCGGAAACTTCATAGCTATTTGTGGTTTCAAATTGCTCTACCGCAAGAAGATATGGGGTAGATTGTTCAATCTTATTAAGGGATCCAACTATACAATTTTCAATAAACCGTCCTTCACGATCTTGTGTTTCGTCGATTGATACCCACACAAAATCGTCTTTAATCGTATCTCTAATGTTTTCAATTGTAAGATCGTAACACTGCTTCACGTAATTTTTGCGCACAGTAGATTCATCCGGCACTTTGCACTGTGTATACTTCTCTATGAAGTTTCTCAGTTTCTCAGGATTGTTCAGTTTTCACAGTGGAATATCTGCCGCTAAAATGGCTTCGCATAAATCAGAGGAAAACTGTGAAAAACTATTATCAGAAAATTCACTAAGCAATTTTTGAACAGGAGCACTTTTCGTGGATTTAATTTTAATATTCTCTTTGTGTATATTAGTGTTCAAATGCTGAAGCACTTGAAAGCGTTTTTCACAACCAACGGTTTTCTCACACGCTCGGCAATAAAGAATTTCGTTATCCGTACTTGTTATCTGTCCTAAGCGGCCTCCGTAGTCTAGAGGTAACGTTTCCACCTCATGACTCGTAGTACGCGGGTTCCAATACTCGGCGGAGGTCGTCGAATTTTTAAGGGCGGAAAAATTCAGGGAACAAGTCCTCCGGCAGCGACTTTAAGCCCTGTGTCCCGTGTCGTAGTTTTACTGCACGTAAATGAACCTCATATCTCCAAAGGAGGTCACTGAGCCAAATTGAGGACGTTTCCCGCCCAACAGCAGTCTCTAATACCTCTGGTAGATGGTGGAAGCATTATAGATACCTCTCAGCCAGTAGAGCCGGTCTCGCTGGCTGGGCGGGACTGATGGTAAGTACCAATACCGGTAGGCTATAGAGACTGGTAGAAATCATAGAGGGAAGCACAATGGACCACTACAGGTCTAAGTGCATTGGGAAGCCCACCATCTCCAAATAACTAACTATCGTCTGTCCTTCAAACTCCCGCTGATACAGCTGTAATTTAGTTTTCTGACTTATTTTCACTTTCGGCAAGACTACAGAGAGATAAACAAACTTAACTACAGCATAGTTACCACTAATGTGAATGGCCCCCAGCTTCAAATGAAGAAGCGTAACGAACCTCATGGAGACTTCGGAAATAAGTAAGTCCCTTATCGGGTGAATAGTATTAGGTTGATAGCTGCTATATGTGGACGCTTCCGACTAATCTCTTCGCGGCCACTTTGATGGTACGCGGATGAGGCAAGTTACGAAAACAGGGATCGAGGTTGAATCGTATTACTTTGAAAGCGGCTACATGTGAACGCTTCGACTATCTCTTCGCGACCACTTTGATGATACGCGGATGATGCAAGTTACGATTACAGGGATCGAGGAAGCCCCGTCCTGGGTAATGCATCAGAAACATGAATCTTGACGAAATGTTGAGTCAAATATGCAACATATTCTAATACGGAAAAGAAAAATTGTATACACATGACCATAATTGAAAATATAAAATTAAAATATATTAAAAGGGAAATATGCAGTATAAATAGAGATCTTCGAAAATAGGATGCTTATTCATAAAACAGGCAAAATATGCAATTATATGTACCATCAAATCATGTCCAAAATTTAAGAAAAGAAGTAATTCATACATATATCCAAACGAGCATACATTCTGGTTGCAAGAAAGAAATATGCATTTGCATTAAAATCCGGTCCCTACTGATCACACACTAACTCGTTCAATGCTGACTTCAGAACTCGTTCACTGATGACTTGAGAACTGTCTTCGGCGGCTTGTACACTTTAACTGCCTTCGGCGGCTGTGCAGTTCCCTTATATAGTCGCAGTGTCTGCCTGTTACGTAGCAACGCTTTTGGGAATTGTTTATGGGTACGTATCAATTGCGGCGTTGCGTGATACGTCACCGCGGGAGAGGGACGTGGTGTTGACTTGTACCGTTGGGGAGGGAGGGGTGTCCTCCAATGCGCAACACGTCACAATTTAATTATTTTTCCCCACAATAAGAATTCGTCTGTCGCAATTCTCACGAAAATTACAAATTAGGAACATACTGTTTTTTACTCCAATATTTGGTGTTCAGATTTGGCCGTGGGAATTATTTTAATGTAATATCAATAGCCTCAATGATGACCCTTGTAAGAAATCATCACGCTTTCTGTCCTTAAAATGTTTCAGTATGGACCTATATATATTGAGATGGGCGAGTACTTTTAAACGCAATCTGAAGCCGAAAAACAATATTGAGGGGGCCCGAGAAGCGCAGTCAATATAGCGACACAGGCAACTTCAATTTTTCTACAAAGATCATTGTCTTCTGGGATTCGGGTCGAGTAATTTTGTAAACTACACGGCCCCACTATTTTATTCTAACTCTAAAGATGGAGACAGAACTTTCCTCTGAAACGTTAATGGAAGCAGCAGATTCCTCCATGTTGACACCTAACAGACTACACGGATAACGTCCCATGAGTTACCCTGAAAAAGGAGACCCCGAAACTTTTCCAGATACCTGTGAGATATCCCCCGCTCTTCTACAACGAACATGGAAGACTGGAAATTCCTTCGAAACTAAACTACACTGGTCACAATTTCTATACTATCCTGAAAATGGAGGCAAGAAGTTCCACCGAAACACTGATACCTATGTACCAAACAGAACGGCCTCACAATCCTAGAAGACGGTATTCTTAATGAGAA